CATCTGTAGACAACACTTACTACAGATATATAACTTTAATCGTTTCTCCTAACCTTATCATTATTCTTGACTTTCAATAGTCTAAGATATTTTAAAAATAGACAGCAGCACTAAACTTTCAACTTTTGCTCGGAAAGAACATAATAAATTAGTTTTTCATTTATTGTTCTTTGTTTCCACGTACGATTGTAGTGGCTAAAAAGGGTTTTAAAATATTACAATTGTCTTGCTTACAAAACCTCACAAATTCTTGAAATAACATATTTCGTTAAAGGAATAATGGTATGAGAAAGTGTAATCATATGTACGTTCATCTAGCATTCTTGGGTTTTGATCGAAACCATATGAAACGTATAATGTTATGAATGTGTTTTATTGTTAAAAAGCATCCCGTTGCTCTTAAGAATTAACAACATTGCTATTCAGAGAGTACTGTATTTTAAGAAGTCGATAAGCTATTTAAAGCCATATTCTATATGTAATGATGAATAGTAATAATCCGTTGTATAAACCGAAACAGATAAAACAAGGATGGAACCTGGTGGATCCAATTAACCATTCTGAAACATATATGGTTTCTTTACATAATATGTTAATATAAGAAGACTGCTTCAGTGACGGTTTTGATAAATACAAGGTTAAGTTACCGAACTTTAGGAACGCATCACAGCGAAACCGCTGACTTGAGCTCTTAATTTTTGCTCATGACAAAACATTAATATCTAAAGTTATGTTATGACTAATGACGATTTTTATTCTACATACAGATAATTGTTAATTTAAGCCCGCATTAATTCTGCTATATAAAAAATGAATACTTATCATTGATAACTATGAGTTGAGAAGTATTTAAACAGTTTTATAAAAAAATTCATGATAAGGTTTGGTAGTTTTTTATAGACGAAAGAAAATGTAATGATGCAATCCTAACCACCAAATTTTGACATTGTTCTTCGGCATCATTCTTCAATTTATTTATTTGTCCTAACATCTCCTTTGTATCTTGCAATGTTTGTGTTAATTGTCGAGTTTCTCCAGATCGTTTATTCATTTCGCTTTTCACTTCACTAACAGATTTTTCTAATTGTTTTTGCAGGTTAATAACATCCTGTTTTCGACAAAATTATTAAAAATAAATAAACACAGATAGCTGACAACACATTATTCAAAAGCTTAGTCAAATTGAAAATTTATTGATAAAGATCATAGATTGTGGATGCGTAATGTTGTGGAGTTTCACACTAAAACGAAACGACCGCCTGGTGCTTTTAGTTTTTTCAGGGGCGGTCTGACATTGATCAGTTTACGATCACAATGAGATACAACTGCCTCTACAATGCAATAATCAAAAAGGATAGTTTGAGTTTTTAATAAGCTAAGGTACAATGGATTTGGTGGAATTGCACTAACTTGTTCGTAAGATTTTAGTAAATCATTCAAGCAAAGAAATATTTTTAGGTTTTAGTCTTTTTAATCATGGCTTTTATTTATAAAACACCAAATACTATTGGTTAAGAACAAAATGTACATTGAATAGCTTTATGAGTTATGTTGTTTCACGGGTTCTCTATTTACTTATATGGGATTTGGTTGGATTTCAGTAATCATTTAGTTTTATAAACGTTTCTTTGTTTAAATTGTTCTGTTATATTTTTATGAAAGTTGATTGCATACTATTTACGAATTTTCTTACTGAAAACCAAATAGAGTCATTTGACACTTAACTATGTTATTTCTTACAAAATACAAAATATACGAAAAATAAAGTGGATAGTGTACAACCCATATTTTCCCTAGAATTCAAAATGATATAAACAGTGAGTAATTAATAATTTCCATTTTCCCTTCACTTAGCCCTATATGTCATAGAACGGAAGTAACATTTTTGATTAAGAGAAGCTTTGCATCAACCAAAGAAAACGGAATATTGGTACAACAATTCTACTGTACATATATAAGTCACCTAAAGTTTCACACACTATATTGACAGCTAAAATGATAATATCACGACAAACTGATTATATGTTACAGCTCTCTTACACCCATCATCTTTTAATAACTAAATGACGGAAGGCTTGGCTCAAGTGCAAAATATTAGTGTGAGCGAAAAAAGACTACCATGTGTCTAATGAAAATCTCTATTTATTTATCTTGTACTCTACTCTATAATACTGAGACATAAACGTGACTATCATGTTATGAGCCAAACTCAATATGTAATATCTGCTTCAATTACCTGACTTATCAACAATTTTTTTAATTCAAACTATAGATTAAGTGAACGAACGGATCTATTCACGTTTTTAACACGATCACTAGTAAACTGTAGACTGTACTTTCATCTTATCGTAAATGTATCTTAATGTTAACAGTTGATTGAATTGTTTTAATGTTTTACTAACGATTGTAATTAATCATTACATTGAGTATAATTAACTCCTGATGAACTTGTGTTTTCTGAGTTATCATCCACTTGTTAGTATATATCCTATGATCAAAATTTACCACATCTCAAATGAAATCATTCAACTACCTCTTCTTTAGGCATACGATTATATTCATTTTGTAGCATACGTTTTTCGTCTTTCAAGCTTTCTATGGTATAAATTAATTCATCATTTCTTTCTTCAATTTGTAATAGACGATTATTTGCATTCAAGAGTTGTTCACGCAGTTTATCTGCTTTTGTATTATAACCTTCAGGATAATTGTCAGCTTTTGATAATGATTCGTTTAAACTATCCAGTTGAATGGACATTTTTTTAGATAACTGTAGCAAATTGAATTCGTTATCTCTTATTCTGTTTGTTTCATTATTTGAGAAGAAAATATACAAAAAATGATATAAGCTAACATAGACATAAATGTTAGTTAAAAAGAAACTTTGAATCATATAAAGAATAAAGACACTCAGGAGTTGGTTCTTTAACTGAATCAGCGATGGGTACTTATCAGCAGACCTAAATCGGAACAAAGCAATTAGTCAGCTCTGAAAGAATGTTTTTTCCAAGTATCAACGCAAATCAGTAAACCTAGAAGTAATCTGGGAGAGTGTGAAATAAAATATTTTGTGAACAGATAAAACGGCATAAACATCAAGTTAGTTGGCCGAAAAATTATACAAAGATAAGTATAGGTACATGTTTACCTGGAAAGTAACCTCATGTTTAGTAGGATAAACATATACGGTGGCTAACGCAAATACAAAACATTCAGTTATCATTTAAAGATTCAGATTATTGTTTGCGCCAACCCAACAAACTTATGGTTATCAACAAGTTCGTTTCCGTTGAACAGAAAAAGAAAACTGCATATTCGTAACTCAATTATATCAAAGGCTTTTTTAGAATTCTTATAAAAACTAGCAGAATCGCCAATTGAAAATGCATGATAGGTACTCAAAAATCAGTTTATAAAAGTTACAGCAACGCCCATTTTTTAGACTTCACTAAAGAATCCAAAACATTCCTCATCATAGTTCAGTGAGGAGGTTCTTATCCCTTTCCGCGAAAGTAGATGGATTTGGGATAAATTTGGATTACAGAGCACCGATAAAAAACATTCTCAATATCAGAGAGCCAAAACTATCTATGTCTTGTCTCAGTGAATGTCCAGAAGGTTGCATGGGGCAAAGCTGGCGAAGGAGTTTATAGAACAAACTAATGGCTTATATTCGTGCATAAATCAGAGAACTAAGAGAAGAGACAGTACCTCTGCATTATGGAGGAGGACAGTAGTAATGCATCACTAGTAGAAGACCATTATGGTAAAGCTTAGGTATTTTCAAATTACTTTAGCAATATATATACCGTAGCGTCGACCCCCCCCATTCGACTCATAAAGAGTAAACACTCTGAACATTGTTGCCATTAAAGAACTAGATGCCTTTGGTCTGTTAAAAAATGCTTGAACAGGGTAAATTTATGGGACTCCGTGAACACATCTTAGATTGCAAAAGGAGCTAGAATATTTTATACCGAATTCTTTAAATATGTATTTTAGTTTATCAGTACACCAAGGTAGATTACTAAAAGGCTGAAACGACATCATAGTAAGTCTTGTTTTCAAAACAAGCATGAGAGAAAAACCTGGTTATTATTGACCTGGAAACTTAACCAGCGTGGTTGTTATTATTCCATAAAATGCTATTTGGAAGGAGGTCTTTAAGTTTGTCGACAAAAACCTCATTTCTTCCTGAAAAACAAAATGGCTTTAAAACGGATTATTCATGTCTCAATAACGTATTGAAGGGACATGAAAGTTGATGTGCTCTTAAAAATCAAAAGCCACATATAGATATGGTCTTCGTTGACTTCATTAAAGCCTTTATTGAAAGCCTTATTGCTCCGAGCGAACAATTTTTAGTGTGTTTTGATTTTAGACACGAAGTTGATAACAAGTGCCAACCTGGCCATACATCAATTGTCTATAGCAAAGGCCAACAGCCGTGCGCTTTACGCAACCTAGAAACTTCAATGAATGCACATACTTAGAAAGAAGGCCACTAAGTTTGAAGAAACGATGCTTCATTTGAGCGATTTGAACACTGCTCAACTTTCCTTCATACCCTAGCTTTTCTACCGCATCGATTGCTGAAAAAAAGCCTCCTGGTGACGAATCGTCTTTAATATCCTTGTTGTGATCAGTTTTATTGCTCTCTATCCCATCTGAAGCAATGGGAGGTTCGTGAATACAATTTGGCCTGGCGATAAGGAATTCATCAACTGATTCGTCTGTAAACAATGTATATCTAAAATTATCAGACCATCATTTGATGTCGTAGGTAGTTCTTCTATGAAGTTTTTAGAATTGTCCTCATAAGACATTTCAAAAATACTTCACTTTCGTGCATTCAAATTGTCGCAAAGCGGCTTAGGTCGTTGTCATGACAATAATAAATAGACCTTTGCAGTGACTTAGATGTAATTTTTTGAAAAAATATCAACTTTGGATCACGACGAATATTTGTTAATATAGTTGAAAATTATGTTTTAATAATCATGAATCACCTCAAGCTGGTTGTGGTCGGTCCAAACGAGGTTATCATTTATAATGAATTTTCTGATTTTCGATATTTCAGTGTGGCAAATCATATATCTGCAATTATCTTTCAGAAACTGTAGATCAGGTTACTGGTGGATATCATCCAACCAGTGGTGTCAGGTATGTCCATTCCCCACCTGTTGAATAGTTGGCTAACTACTCATAATAACCCATCTTTACAATGTAGAATATTAGAATATGAACAAAAAGTCAAGATAAAAGGAAAAACCAGTAAAGTTGAAGTTGAGCTATGGGATGCCAGTGGAGATAAAAAGTAAATCTCTATTTATATTTGTGATGGTCCTCGTAGGTATGAAACTTGCTGGCCGGCTATTTTCAAAGGGTGTCATGGAGTTGTTTTTGTATATAACCCTGATAATCTTAATCACGTAAACGATCTACAAAATTGGTGAGTTTTCCTTACTGCCACTTTTTGTAGGTATCGAGCAGTGCCGCCTAGTTTGGGCCTGAGCGAACAGCAGATGTGCATCATTTGTCACAAAAAACCAGACACATCAATTCGTGACCCGGTTTCTCTACGTAAGACGAATACATGTAAAATTACCTGTTACTTATAGCAGATGACCTGCATAAAATACTCCACTTTTTTTCTAACATACCAAAAGATGGGGAACGACTCAGAGAACAGTTTGGAAAATTTGTATCACATTTAGCATGGGGCAGGGTGGAGGCGAGTGAACAAGAAGAGCTTCAAATAATGAATAGTTAGAGATATATGATTAGTTTTTCTAATTCTGCCTCATGATCATTCTTATTTTGTTAATAATACGAAAATAATGCGTACAATATATTTGTCGGTCGTTGTAGATTGCATTTTTTCCCTAATAAATCTGAGTATATACGGAAGCATCAGCTTTATTTTTAATCAGTGGCACTGGGTTGAAATCTTTCGTATTCCCTACATATCGATCGTACATGAGACAACTAAGTCACTGGCTGTCTTTGAGTAAGCAAACACAAATTCATAAGAATGTTTTGTTTCGAAACGCCACGTAAAAACTAAACTAGCAGACGTACATATTTCAGACGATAGTACAAGACAATGATCTAGTGTCTGGAGATGTACGTCAGTTTGTGTAGATCTTTATAACTGCTGTTTCTTCTTTGTTACAGTCTTCACAATTCTGTTATTCCGAATATTATCTTTATATGAAATGGGATGTGTTGATCTAAATGATCCACAGGTATTTTGGCACACTGATATAGGTAGATACATTCAATCCCTTTCATAGTGCTTTCGCCCCCCATACGAGTAAAAACGCTGGTTCGTACTTAATGATGAGCCAAAAAATCAGAATGTGGATTAGGGTTCGATTCAAGCGAGGACTTGAAAACACTAGGTCTATATTACTTGGAGAATACAAGATAACCTGCTAGTGTTGTAAATGCTTATGAGTGAAGATGGCACAGGTATTCAGTGTTTGACAACGCTTTTACCAGTAACACCTATTATAACTCGTACCCACCAAGAGAAATCAAAAGACAGAATCGAGGAGATCAGAAGTTGTATTTGACGATTGCCAATATATCGGAATTGTCTGATCTAGTCTGGCTAGCGACTGTAGTAGATGTTGAGCACGGCGTTTCCACACGTGATCTGGTGCGGACGCATGACCTAGCTCCTTCAGCTAGATGAGTCCACTAAAACTAATCTGGTCAGCATCCGATGTCGAAAACTTACAGAGCTATTTATTTTGGGGATTTATTTACCGCTACATGGGCATTCCCGGAAGCACATTGAGTCCAACATAAACATTGAATGAAGGACTCAGAATCTGTTAGATCACTGAAGCTGGTTGAATTGTTGGGAATTTTTTCCATCAAACATGAATCCTCATCACCATTCGAAATCAATTCCTCCTAAAGTCCTATAAAAAAAGCCTTTACATTTTTTCAAAATCCTAGAATAGACTTTCATGTTGATTTACTGTAACTGCTTTCAGTTCTTTACATGTGATTTTATCCTAGTGTGTTCAAAGTTTTTAAAACCCATTAATCACTTGCTCTGGTCTCAGTCATGTTTATGTTTTTTGACTGCTATCTGGCAATTCGTAGGATTGCGGCAATCATGTCTAAACATTCTCACAGGACTTCAGATTTGTCGTTATTTTTTGAAGGTATGTTTGCTTTGTTTTATTATAAGTACCTTGCTTCTTTAAATATTATTACTAAGTAATATGTAAAATTTAGTGTTTACTACATAGGTGGTTTAGCTCCTCTTCTAAAAGTTACTTTACTCACTTTTTACACTGAATATGGTCTACTTTAGTATTGAGCAGATAATAAAAGTTCATAACCTAAAGACAAACTATAAGTGTTATAATATAAAACTACTAAGTAATTTTCACTCTTGTTTTGCACTACGAATTCTCGCTACATTTGTGGTACTCATATTGACATATTTGACTAAGCATTGATAGATACTTTCACATGAGTGTTTGTCATTAAACAGCCGAAAAGTTCCAAGGACTAGTCCACCTGCTGGTTACAATGCTAGGACTCAAAATCCTAATTTTATGACCCTACTTTTTTCAGAGAATATTATTTTGGCGTAAGCTAGTGATTTGTAATTTACAATGTACTTGTTCTACATTGAAACCCTATAAGACTTATATAATATTAAGCAGTGATAGAAAGACAAGTGGAATGAAAAATGGTTCGCGCGCACAAGGATGTGTCCACAAAACTGAATTAACCTATTGTTAAGGAAACCATGCAAATTATAAGTTACAGTTGGCCACACGATAATTTGTTGTGCTTACAGATATTATAAAACAGAAGATTAAACCTAAAGAATAAAATCAGTCCCTCCCACTTTGAAGACTTTTTTAAGTTAGAGATGTTTACACTAAACATAAAACTGTTGAACTGAGAATACATAGCCGTTGTCTTGTGAAACAAAATGATGAAGTTTGAAACAATACAGCCAAGATTACAATCATTCACTTCGAAAACCAGCCGTCATACTGTTATCAAAGCAGATTTCCAGAAACTAATAATGCTTGCAAAACCAACTATAAATACAAGTTGATTATGTATTTTTGAGTATCCGTTGTAAATTGTTTTGAACATGTATTAAAGCCGCAAGATAATGCTATAAAAACAATGACCGATAGTTCCATTATAGTTCGAAAATAAGTTACCTTCACACGTTTTAAATATTTTTGAAGCAAACATTAATTGTACAATCAGATATGAAAAAGGACAAAAGCAAAATATAAAACTATTATTACTATTGCAGGATGTACACTGGCCATCACTTACAGATCTTGTAATCAGTGAGTTATGGACGGAAATTTTATTACGTAGATTGGAGTGTAAATCAAAATGCAACTACATTACAGGACACCATATAACCTCTAATTTCCCAAATGATTACTTTTTAATTATAGACCTTGGGTTTCGAAAGACTTTTTTGTTAATTTAGAAGAATGTGGCCATCTTTAGGAAGTCTGTTTGCATCTGTAAGTTTTTTCATCCAGTTTTATTCTGATAAAAAACAAGAAGAATATTTTGATATATCTATATAGATATATAGTATATATCTATTCACAAAGCTTATTTCCATAATAAAAAACCACATTCACTCCTTAAAAGTCAAAATGAAATAATATTAAATTATAATTATATTATTATTGTAATCCGATTGTCCTCAATGTTGAACTTCCGGAATTCGCTCACTAGTTGAGCAAATGATGTCCTATGTAGTAAGACATATATATAAACCTGACTTTTTAAAGTAGAATCCTTTTGCCGGAATATCAGATGAAATTTAAAAGGTATAAAGTGAAACTTCTTATTCGGTTGGAGGTTTGGTTTACTAACTTATATATATATATATATCCTACATGTTATAACCAAACCGTATCATAATCCAGTCATCAACGCTGATAATTTTTGATATTGGTTTAGCTACTTATAAGTAGGCATACTTTTAACGGGACATTTGTGCATAAACTTCATTTTATAATTAATATATCTCAGTAAAATAAACATGCGCCCAGTTCATCTCTAAAACGTATATTTCACTTGTAGACCTTAGCCCCAAATCATATCGCAAGTCGCTACAGTCTCAGAAAAACAAATTAACCTCGTATGATATGTATACGGATTTGATTTTGTACATGGTTGATATTAGGGTCTAGATTTGATTAGTATATTTTGGTATTTCAACATCGCGGATGGATTACCTTGATATTACCAACAAGCACAATACTGAGCAAATGATGTCCTTAAATATCAACAACGAAAAAAAGTACAAAAAATTAGATATGCCTACATATTCATGTCCATCGAACAAGTTGCTATATGAGCTAAGTAGCTTGACAGATAACAAGATATCGTTTAAAGCAAAAAACGAAGTAATATAATGGGGCTAATAGTATAGAAGTATAACTTTTTAAAACATCATACAAATAGTTCTATATATTTTTTCATAATACTATTGGAAGATGCTTGAACTATTTTATTTGTTTTTATATTAACTTATTTTTAAGTTTCTGTTTGATCTAATTAAGATGTCATATAATTCCAGAATTATCATCAATCATTATTCCCCAATTACTCTGATCTTGTGTCTCTTATGATCAAGTTATAAACAAATTTTAATTTTTTAATCGTGTTGCTGTACGATCAGACATTTCAGTTATATTATTTTAAGAGTTTAAAGTCATAAATGAACTGACTACAATAAGGAACTGATCTGTTTTCTATTTTCCTTTTATGTGTGAACATTAGGTTATAACGAGATCGAGAATCCATAAGCGTTAAGCTCTTAGTTGTTGTTCAGTGGTCGGTTTGCTAAATAGTACTTAGATTAGCAGTCCCAAAGAATAAACAGCTAAATCAATAGATATTCGGACAAGAGAGAGAATGGTAACATTATTGCTTTCCTCTCATCATGACCCTATCACAACACAACTTGAGCAATCTATTTTTCTTTCGACATAACACACAGCCTTGAGTACCTATGTGATCACTGACATAGAGACACAGATGCTTACGGCTGATGATGCGCATCCTAGATTCCACTGGTAGCCACAATTCAATTTAATTCTATGGTTAATTTTCTGAACTTGGTAGTTGGTTAGGTTGATAATCCTGGCTTTTATAAAGTCATAAAATAACATTATATATATGTATATACTACTGAAATTTAGTAAAATCAGGTTTTAATATCAAGGCGAAAAATATTTTATTATTTGTTAAAATTTTCCACACTAAAAAACACCAAAGTACAGTCTAGAATTTCTTTCAATTGTTTAACGAGAACATGTTATTTGATAGATATGGAAAGAATTATTCAATAAAAGTATCACAGATTTCATACGAACTTCTTTATGTTTTAGTAAACAAGTTTGGTATCGAAAGTTGATAGTTCAAGATTTTTTAATAAAAACTTATTCCAGTTTTTGTACGAAATTTTTATTGGAATATAAAACGTAAGCTTAAATGGGACTGCTAATTTCTAGAGTTATTTTAACTTCTATCCGAAAATAAATATTATCACTTACACTGTAAAACATTTAGACTTTTTCATAAAATTTAAGGTAGCTGATTATCACATTGTTTCAAACTGTAACTAATTGTACATCTTGGATGAAACTTATAATATTTTTCGACCTTTAAAAACTCCATTTTATTGATATTTATCAAAATTGATGGACCACATTTCGAAATTAACAGCTATGGCTATTGTTACTAGACATAGAAAATTATTTATTCACCATTAATCTTAAGTTCATCGGTTAGATTTCGGACAGAGTCATGGTTGTCCGTTTGTGAAGAATCTCATACTACTATAATGCAAATATCTAGTGCTGCCAATTTTCTACTAATTTTTTAG